CAGCTCATTTTCCTTCTCACACACCTTTTTAATTTTCGGCTGTCGGATCAGATGAATTAAAAAAGATCAACGGACAGAAATCATCAAGGGGTGTGTGAGAAGTAAAATGGGGTGTGTGGATAGCACACCCCTAAAATTTTGATATAAAGTACGTTCTCATTTGATGTCATTTATAACTTCGGTTTAATGGTATTTTTCTTTATTTATTAGTGAAAGATTTTATATTCGATTCACAAAGATGTATTTGAATCATATTACTGCTAGCCCATTATGTGGTTAAGTTCACCTCTCTTTCTCTTAATGTAAATAATATCGTTTGTTAAAAAAAATGTTCTTATTTGATATATTCATTATAAATTAGAAATCGAATAAATAGTGTAAAGAGAGGAAACATGACTACGAACTCAATTTCCTTTTGAAGAAAAACAACGTAAATTGATCAGATATTAAACATTGATTACAATGTAAATAAAATGAAACCTTGTGACTTATTTTTGAATTAACTTAAAAATTTAACGGTGTGAAATGTACATAAATTTAGGTAATTTTAATAAATTATTATAATACTAGTAAAATTTCGTGTTTATAATCATTCTTTAATTTATTCAATCTATAAGCATTAGAAAGCAAATTTAAAGCTTTCATTCTCATTTGCATCTTTTGGTTTTGAGGGATATTAGGGCTAGTTTGGGGTTGATGTGCTGTTAAAAAAAAAAAAGGCATTGTTTTTAAAAGTAGAGGTAGAGCTAATTCTGCTTTCTGCAGTTTTAAACCCATGATTTTTTTTTTGCATTTACCAAACACAATTTAAGCCCCAGTTTTTCTTAAAAGCTACTTTTAAAATAATTTCAACAATTCCCAACTAGCTCTTAGTTAAGGAGAAGATATTTTACTATAAGGTTCTAAAAGACTAAAAGCTCATAGCCAAAGTGAAAGTTTAAATTTTAATCGAGAAAAAGTATTAAATTTTAGTTCGAATGACTTTTGCGTAATGGAAAACTCATTGCAACAGTATCAATTTAATCATGTTTTGTCATTAAAATGACACGATTAAATATTAAGTTCAACACAAATATTTATTTATTTATTGAGAAAAAAGGGTGGGGGGATTCAACAAAAACATTAAATGCCTTATATGAATCTGTTTGGGCCTAAAATGATAGTTTGGGCCGAGTTTAGTGACTCTCGGCCCAATAACTATTTAGAGTTCTATCATGGGCCGACCAGTCGTCATGGGCATTTAGTCAAGGTTGGCTGAGTCCTACTACGAGGATGAGTGGTTTAGATAAGGGTAAGGTAATCGAGACTTAGTACAACAAGGAGTCTTAAGGCTAAGGCTGAGGATGATGAGATTTAGAGGATGAATCTGGTTCGTTAAAAGATGTTGGTTCAAAGTCCTATTGGAGTTAGGATTGGCCCATACCTAATCAGATTAGGTTGACGAGTTCTAATCCAAGTACGGTTCTAGCTCGGCCATGAGGGGGTTTGCTAATATAAATAAAGAAGGAAGTGCATCATTCGAAGCCCCTCCAATTTAACACAATTGCCTTGCACAAAGCTTCTTAACTACCTTTGAGATTTTATCCTCTTCCCTTTTATTCCACCAATACATCTTCAGTTTGGATAAATAGCACTGTGAAGGTAACCGGCGACATCTTCAGTTTGGATAAACAGCACTGGAGCCGTAGAATCAACCGATCAAGGAGCACCTTCAGTTTGGATAAACAACACTGCTTCGAAATCGACTGGTTATTTATCCAAGTCTCGGTCGACAGGGACTTTCGCATTCTTGTTGGTAGAGGTTATCTCATCAGCCTTCTCGGCGAAGTGAGGTGTTACATGTTACCAGGCTCGGCACATTGAAAGCCAAGTTGTTTTATGATTGGATATTCGCAAGTGAGTTTCAGAGTTTGGCATTATGACGGCCGAACCACATTTACAATCAAGACATACATCTTTTTCGAGTACTTGTGTCCATATAGCCTAGTGTCAGTTCAGCATGCTTATACTTTTATGAATATAATCACCGTGATCAAACCCGGCGCCGACGATTCGTGAACTTCACAGGACTAGCAGCTTTATCTTCAAGCTCTAGAACCCAAAGGTCGAGACGCGTTCCTTCCTCGGCCGCAATCTTAGGATTAAGAAGTCAGCAATACGCTCAACGCAACATCAACACATTTTACTTCCCGGTCGAGTTCGGCCGTCGAGTTGGCACGCTCTGCATATAACCGAATGACGTAATTAGTTTACTAATTACTCGCCTTACGCGCTATGTATGCTTGATAGTTTTTAGGATCAATAGAATGAAACCTAAAATTTTCACTTGTAAAAGAATACGAATACTCTTAAATTCGTTGTATAAAAGATAGTTAGGTTGGAACTTGGAATGGTTCGTGCAATATTACTAAATTGTGTTTATTTAGTAATTGGACCGAAAAGCAATAATAAAAACAATAAAAAAATTCCGTAAAAATCCGACATGCATCACGATGGCAACACGTATTGGAATTCCTAATTCCCAACACCCACGACATTACAGAAGCTGGAAGGAAGAGGAGAAGAGAAGACGTCGAGGATTATTGTGTTGGCGTTTCATCATTCAACAGTTGATATTGGTTGCCACGTAAACCCACAGACCCAGCTCCCCAGGTCAATCACGACAGATTTTGGACAAGGATTGTCTGCCCTCCTAGTTGTGGTGCCCTTCCATGCCCTCCTATTTTGTGCGGTCACGGTTAAGTCACGTCAATATTTTATATTTTTATTATTTTTATCTTATTATCTCATTAAAAAATTAATATAAAATATTAACGTGGTTTAATCATGACCGCACAAAATAGGAGGGCATGGAAGGGCACCACAACTAGGAGGGCAGACAATCCTAGTCCACAGATTTTTTAGTATGCTCGAAAAATAAAATGAAACTATACGTGTGTCATGATATAAGTAGTGATATATTTGTTTTAAAAAATTAATAATTTGAAAAATACAAATCTTTCTATTTGTATGATGATATGTTGCTACCACTCATGTTCCGTAGATACTGTAAAATTTCTCGTCGCTCACTTAATACTAGTTTTGCCCTGAAATGAAGCAACTTGTACGGTAGGGTTCCTTTCACCAGAAATATCTCACGTCTTCATCCTCCTGTACACTTGTCCTGCAATAAATAAAGTATTTTTGTTTCCCATGCGGCGCCGTTATTAATTCTATATACTATTTTTGTTATGTTCAATTTTAATTCTAGAGTAAATTACATAGTAGCTCATCAGGTTTGAGGATAAATTACAACCCCATACAATAACTTTAAAACATTTCACTTTCATACATCTAGTACCATTTTATTTCAAAATAACACCTCCATTAGATTTTTCATCAATTAGTCTGTTAAATGTTGACGTGGCTACCACATTTGTGCTGATGTGGCTGCCACGTGGAATTATTTTTTTATACATTAAAAATATTATAATATTAATCCAATTATAAAAAATTAAAAAAATTAAAAAAAAAAAACATAAAAACCCTAACCCAGATCCTCTTTCTTCCCCCTCTCCTCTCTACAATCCCTACCCACTATCTTTCACCCACTCCCCAACGACCTCCCCCTAATCGACCCACATCCCTATCCCTAACCTAGAACCTAAAAACCTGCAACAAGAAGAAGAAGAAGAAGAGGGAGGAAAAGAAAAAAAAAAACCCCAGTTCATCCCCCCCAAAACCTGCAACAAGAAGAAGAGGGAGAAAAAAAAAGAGAAAAAAAGCCCAGTTCGCGGGAAGGTCGTCAGAAGGTCCCGGGGGGGGGGGGGGGGGGGAAGGGAAGTGGGTCGCGGCAGGGTTGGGGGGTTTTCTCTCTCGGATCTCTCACTCTTTCACTCTCTATCTCTCTCTCGGACTCTCTCCCCGACAGTACACCCACGCACGCACCCATCTACACAACCACGCACGTACCGACGACACACCACCACCAACTGAGCTTCAAAATCCCGGGCGGGAAATCTGACTTGAAGTTGTTGTGGCTGATGCCGAGGATCTTGAGGTTGTAGAGCTCGAAAATGGCGGGCTGGAGAGGGCCGTGGAAGGCGTTGCCGCTCAAATTGAGGTGGATTAGTGAAGAAAGGTGGCAGATTTGTGGTGGGATTTGGCTGGAGAGGTTGCAGCGGGAGAGGTCGAGGGAAACAGAGGGAAGGAGGAGGAAGAAAGAGAAGGTACTTTCATGGTTTTGGGGGTGTGGGGAAGGTGCTGGGTGAGAGTGAGAGTGAGAAGGAGAGTGTGTTGGGAAATTTAAAGGAATGGGGGTCTTGATGGTTGCTTATGGGTTTTCTAAAGGGATGAGGTTTCGGCGGCCGGGGGGGGGGGAAGTGGTGGGATCTGGGGTTTCTAAGGTTTTTATTTTTTATTTTTATTTTTATTGAAGATTTAGGTTTTTTTTTTTTAAATTAAAAATTATTTTTTTGCCACGTGGCAGCCACATCAGCACAAATGTGGTAGCCACGTCAGCATTTAACAGACCAATGGATGAAAAATGTAACGGATGTATTATTTTGAAATAAAATAGTACATAAGGTATGAAAGTGAAATGTTTTAAAGATATTGTATAAGGTTGTAATAAATCTCAAACCTGAGGAGCTACTATGTAATTTATTCTTAATTCTACATACGATTTTCACAATCGTTAGATTTTCAGATTATAAGCCTTTTTTATATATATAAAATATTTTAACGGTTAGAGTTAATTTTTATATTTTAGAATAAATATCCAACTGTTAATATCTTGTCATTTGAGAAGGTCTAAGTTTTCTAATCACCAAACTTTTAATTACTTTTATTTTCTCCGACAATCGACATATTCTTAAATCTGTAGCGTTATCTAATCCAATCCAATCACATTGCATTAAGCGTTGGCATCATTGGTGAAAGATTACCACAAATTTACCAGCAAGGGTGTTGTTATTTACACTTCATCGAAATCATTCTACACTACTCATCAGTAACAAAATTAACGAAATAAAGGAGCGCCTAATGATCATTATAGAGCGTTAATAACCACTCCTCGAAATTGCAACAATTTTATTCTAATATTCTTCAAGCGCGATAACTTTTTAGAATTCATACTGTTGACATCACTTAGATAAGGGTTCGTGGCTAACAGTATGAGTGGTACAAATCCATTCATCCAAAAAAATGTGCAAACATTAGGAAGCAAGCATGGTAAGAATGTGAGAGACAGAGGATCAAAATGGCCGGCTAGTAGGGTTGAAACTGTTTACAGTCATTCCTCCGTCCACAGAAATAATCTGACCGGTGATGTACGAAGCAGCCGGCAGGCAAAGGAATGCTACCAGAGATGAGACTTCCCCAGGCTCTGCAATGCGCTCAAGAGGAGTTCGCGACGTTCTCTCTTCCAAAAACTCCTTGTTATCCAGCAACTGAAACCAGCTAGCAACTCTGTTAAATTATACGTACCCGACAACAGATCGATAAATAGAGAACAATGGTCAAACATAAATTTGAAAACTTCAACAGAAGCCAATTTTTGATACATTACCATTGCACAGCAGATCCAATCTTTACATAAACATAAAATGCACGGAATCAACGTCAATGTTAGGGGATTAAAGTATCTCTTTCTTCGGTTACATGCCAGAATATCAAATTCTGGACGTGTCTTAATTTGTATCCTAATCTTAACCCATTATCCGATTCTTATTGTGCAATATCCAATTAGTGCTACTATGATCACCTCATAGTCTTATTTTCCCACCCACTTATTTTCACCCGCTAGAAAAAATTTAAAAAAACCAAACACTCTCTTCCCATCCACTTATATTTCTAAAATATCCCAAACAATTTTAAGTTTTAAATAAAATAAATATAAAAAATGATTGAGTTTTGGAGATTTTAGGAAAATGGAACAGCACGAAAGTCCTCACCCAACCCAGTCTAATGCAACTCCAACCAAACACCACATGATGGCGACAGCTCTTTTTCTCTTTGCCGCTGGGAAAATACATTCCTTTCTTTTTCTTCTCTTCTTTGTTTCTCTTTATCTCTTTCTTTCTTCCCCTACCACATCTGGATTTAAGACTCATATTCACATTTATTCCCAAATTCCAATTCAAGATAAGGGTTGAAAAAGTATGGAGAAAAGAAGAGAGAGAATTTGGGGCGTGTGGGGTGGACAAAAGAGAAGATGGGGGGACAAAAAAGTTAGAAAGTGATGAGAGATGAAAAGATAAAATGTGAAGGTTGCTGGGCAGCTTGATTCGTTTCTCATTTTAAGTTTTTTAATTATTTTTCATTAAAAAGTGAGTGAAAAAAAAGATTATGGGATGCATATCAACGCTCTATCTAAATATATAACAGTAAGAGATGCGTAATATTGGATGTGTACTAAACTGGAGAAAAAAAACTCAGCACGATCCAGTGAAATGGTGGGACACAAACACTAATTTAGGTTTCAGGACTTGATTCCTGAGAACATGAGGTGCAAAAGGGAAAGGGAGACAAGATGACGATGCTTCAGCATGATGATAAAAGACTACTGGAAATGCAACACAACCATTGAGAGGAGGATCGATGGTGTTAAAAATACTCATTCCTCGCATAGTAAACGCACACGTATGAAAAGGCAAAGTGTTATTCTCCATGAGACAAAAAGAAATTCAACTTAAGACCTTTGGCACATGTCTGCATGTAACCCTCTTGTTTCCCACTAAAATTAGTAAAGGTGCGACCTCAAGCCAACAAGGCTTCTCGCTTTGCGAGGGGGAAGGAATGTCTATCATACGCAACTTTACTTTTGCTTTGCAAAGAGATTGTTTTCACAACTCGAAGCCTTCCTTTTGGTCACAAAGAAACAACCCTTCTGTTTCCACAACTCTAAACCACTAAAATTAGTAATTATCGAATATCATTTGCAAGAAAAAGCATACTGAGTGGGATATAGGTTAAAGCCCCCACAGCAGGGTCTACAAAATCATACCTTTATGCATCTTTTGATATTGTTCAAAGTCTTATATTTGAGCTGCTGATACCTCTCATACATTCTATCAGACAGTCTCTGGCCACTTTTCTAGGTTGAACACGACGTAAGAAGCATGTCGATTACTCTTGTATCTATATTTCCAGAATACATCTGAACATTAGCAAGTGTATATGATTCCATTTGTAAGCATGTAACTCATGTAAAATTGCCTGTCCGAATACCTAATAACCCGATAAAAGAGAACTAACATATTCGCAATCAATATAATTTGCATTTAGACTTACTCCAACCCTTGGAGTAAAACTCTAATTTTAGGTTCTAAAATCACCCCAACTTGCTCCAACCCTTAGGCCAAAAATGAGTTTTGTGGCAAATTCTGGCTAGCCCACTATTGAGAATAAATGCGCCCAGCCTTCGGCCAGACACAGAAGAATTATATGTGTAGGTGAAGCACCTAAATGGCCATAGCGAGGAAAGAGAATTACATGTTCCACGAGTGAGGTTCTAGTGTACCAAGGGCAGACAGCATTGCTCCTGATATTTGTCTTTCGCCTACTCACAAGCCAGATGTTTCGTAAGCTGATTGATTGCAGCTGAAAAAAGAAAATTGGAGACAGAACATAAAGACTTGGCTTTCTCCTTTCGCACTCAATCGAATATAATAATATGGGGCAAAAGAAGACACCAAAACGGAGCAATGCCTCACCTTTACTTACTGCATAAATGGTCCCGGAACCTATATCCGCCATCCCGGCAGCAGAGGATATAAACACAATGCTTCCTTGCCCGGATGCTTTCAAGAGAGGAACAAGTTGGGAAAGGTGGTAAGTAGATTCTAAGTTGGTAGCGATGAGTGATGAATATTCTTCAGAAGTGTACTCAGTGGTTGGCTTCCTGATGTTAGTCCCAACGTTGTTCTACCTAAATCCCACCACAAAACCCAAAGAAACCCTTTTCAGATTCTACAAAAGGTACCTAGTCAATTCGAGAATCGAAGTCACAACCGCAACCCGTTTCTAATTATTCTAATCATATGAAAAATGAAAAAGTTTTCTTCTCTGGGGGCACTTATACAAACATCTAGAGGAAATAGGCATGATTGCTTTACACCACTAAGGTAAAGTGTCATCTGCCAATGGTTAGTGTTTTTGATGAGCAATCCATTATTTCTATATGGGGGAATGAAACTAAGCATTTAAATTTTAAATGTCTTATACCGATTTAGAAATAATGAGTTGCTCATCAAAAATACTTGTGCATATCGAGTTTGATACTATTTTATTAAAACAAACTCAATGTACTGCTCAAATTATCCGGCTGTCAATGTTAATACATCTTGTATAAAAAGAATTGATTTATATTTATATTTATTTTGTTTTTGGTTGTTCGTTTTCATTTTTTATGTGTTAGTGTGATAGAGGTTGAAGAAATGTATATGTAATGTAATGATAATAAAATGTAAAACAACTTTGAGTTTTCAAAGAGTTTGTAGCTCAAGTTTGTTAAAGAAAAAACTTGTAGCTCAAGCATTTAAAAACATACTCCATACCGAGGAAGTGCAATGTTTGAATCACCAATCTTCTAAGAATAGGTCTATTGAAAAAATAACACAGCTTTTTGTTGAAGAATAGAGTACCACCTCAAAAATATAAAAGAAAATATACATCTTATACGTGGAAATTCCACACTTAATATCATCGAGGTTTTTTTTTATAAAACCAAACATCTAGTAAAAGGTGTTTAAATTGAAATAACATACATATTGAGTTTTATTACAAAAGAACTCGATAATATTAATATTAAGTGTATACCATACTTGACTTAAAATCTTATCAGAACCTTCCTCTTTAGCCCATCGCATCCCAAATTCAAACCCTTTTTATTTCGTGGATAGAGACTTTCACTCTCTCTCTCTAATAAAAAAAATTAAAGAAAAACGAAAATGTTACCAATTCAATTCCATAAATCTTCATTCCATCAATGATACATATTCGTTTGGCCCACATGCATCCTATAGACTCTCACACAAATACACAATCCTACAAGCATTTTGCCCAATTCTGGCCAATCCAAGAAGTACGTACCATGCACCACTAGGGCTTCATATCACAGTTCAAGTGTTGGACTTTTAGGCCGAATCAAGCTTTTTCCTTCAAGAACAACAGTTGGGTCAGATGCCTGTATAAATGCAAAAGCGAAAATGATACAATGCTAATCTGCTTCGGTGTATACATGCACGAATAGGATTTGGATGCTCTCTTGAGCCCAAGGAGAGGATCCTCCTGATCAAACAGTGTGGGCCGTTGAATTTTCATCAAACGGCTATAATTAATATAATCTTAAAGGGATCCTCTGCTTGTAATTGTTGGATAAAAATCCAAAGGCTCACGCCACACTGCTTGGTCATGAGGATCCTCTCCTTGGGCTCAGGAGAGGATCCAAATCCGCACCAATATACTAGATGTCTAGATTCATTTGCATGACTAGATTTTGACAATCTTAATTTAACTATTCAAACACTAATGCATCTCATACACCCGATATACTATAAAAAATTTCAAAACAAAGCACCAAACCCAAGTAACCAACCAAAAACCACAAGCCATTTATGAAGATCACTATCCAATTTGTCATAAGCTCACTTAAAGCTGATCAGTACCGCAATATCTCATCATTCCCTTGTAAAAATTTCCTCTTCAGTGAAGGAAATAAACAGAGGAGAGAGAGAGACATCTCATATCCATGTGATTTTCTGGCTCTACAACTGCACCTCAAATTAACTCATCTCTCAATAATATTTTCAGACCTCGATAACCGGTAAAAAGTTAAACCAAACCAACCAAACTACTCGAACTGCCAGACCAGACACTGCCCCAAAATAATACCGTTAACTTTTCAAACCCTCCCTCCGTCCCTCCTCCTTACACAGAAACAGCGCCCTCATTCAAACCAAAGTAAAACCAAAACCTCCATACCTATTTACCCTTTTTACCCACCTCGAAATTCATGCTCATAGAAATGTTCATGTGTGTGTGATGAAAGCATGCACATCAAAAGGTAAAGTCTTTCCATTTTTCACGTACATCGCCTAAAAGTGGTAAAAATATAGTTGGGTTAACATAACATCCCTCCAGAGAGTAGATACCGTCTGAAAGTGCATCAAAAGAGATGTTTCATCATCGTTTTACCTTATAAAGAAAACGTTGAAAAAACACACACATTAAAACCCTAGAGGGTATCCCCGTGTATTCTGCAGGAAGAAACCATTGTGTGTATATTCTAGGGTTGCTGCATTACTAAAACCAGATAGGAGTCTCGTCTATATAGGGTTTCGAAATTTTGACATTAATTTTGGAAACTTATTAAGAGAAGACTTTTATGGCTCAAGTATACCGCTATTGTAGTGTCCCGTGCCAATGATATGATGCCTGTATGTTGTTTATCGCATGGCATCGTATCATTGACACCAAATGCTATGATAATAGTGTACATGTGCTATGAAAGTTGCTCTCCATTCTAAAACGCTTTTATTTTATTTTATATCTATAGGGCAGTTGGTGATTGGTCGTTGAGGGTTTCAATATGTAGCTAGAATGGTTCCAAAAGTAAAAACACTGGACTATTTGTTTCTCTCTGTGCCCGGATTATTTAATGGTGCTCTTAATTTGTTTGTTACATTAATTAATCGAATTTGATTCCAGCGAGTTGATGGACTATTTGGACGATTAGAGATAATGATTACCATAGCATAGAATTACAGAAGAGATCAACAGATCGATATTCCATAGAAGTGCTTCTTAAAAACTTGGAATTTGATTTGATTTCATGTTAATTATATACTATAATGTATATAGTATTAATTGATCTCTGAATAACTTTCAGTACACTATGGGATATTGTAGCTGAAATGACTTTTGATGTCAGTTACTAGTCAGTTCTTTCAACAATATTTGCAGCTTCAGAGATACAGTTAAGTTCCCTAGTCTCTACCACTCTTGGCAGGAAGATAAACAACAAAGGAAATAAACATAAAAACAAGCACAAAGAAGCTTCTCTCTCTCTCTCTCTCTCTCTCATGATGATTCAAGTAGTCTGAGAACTGGCAGTCAACTAATGGTAACTACTGTGTACTTGTTTGAATTTTTTAAAACCTCAACAGCAACAGCAAAACTGGTAGATCTGAAAATTTTATGGGAATTTTATATATCTTTGGACCTTCATCTATCTAGGTATCTAACACGTGGAACCGTGGAATGGAATATATATCACACCTCTCATAAACCCTAATGCAACACTACTTAGCATATCTTTCCATGCCATGTCAAGATATAAAATTCCAACTATTTCTTGTGTAGCTTTTTTAGTTTGCTCTCTGTCATTTAACTTCCAGTTTCAGGCATAACATGTTATCATCACATCAATATTAGCAATATATAGTAACTAATATACTGGAAACAAAAACCCACCGATCAGAACTGAAAAATGGATAAAGTGCAATCAATTAATCTTGAATTCAATTATGTGCACATGGAACCTCAATCTGGCATGTTCTGTTACCCTTGCATCTTTAATTAAGGGTTTTTCCAAGAAAGAGATGGAAAAAGGTGGACGAGGAAAAACAGAAATTGAAAGTGATTAATTTCTTCTAATTCTCTCCTAAAAACTAATTAAAAACATTAACTGCAACAATTAACAGGATCAAGATGATTAGCTAGCTAGCCAATAATACAACTGCATGCCGATTGGCCAGGTCAACTATACTATCATTTCACCTTGGGAGGGTCACCAAGCCTGAGCTCAAGATCCAAATCTTCCATGGAGCTTGCCGCAAGTGCTGTAGTTACCTCTACTTCTGGTTGTAGAAAAAATGGAAATGATGAAGAAATAGCTCTATTAGTAGTATTCCTAGGCCTCTTACAACTTATGCTTGCTTCTTCCCCACAAGAACCACCTTGTGATCTGCTTCTGCTGACAGCCGAAATATTCAAGCCCACCGACAAGTTGGTTTCCACATTAAAGTGATCGCCATGATCATAATTACCTTGAAGGGATATGGAGTCTTCCCTGATATTCTCCTTTTCCAATTGGTCATCAGGTTTTGAATTATCTGATGACCAAGATGGAGCTGCGGTAGCAGTAGTAGTAGAAGAAAGAGGAGAGAGAAAAAAAGCTGGTTCTTCAGTACCTGAATTCTCCTTTTGAATAGCTAGTAAATTAGCTGCAGATGAGGGAACCCTAGAAGAACGTGGTGAAGAAAAAGGACATGATATTGACGAGATATTATTAGGGTCAAGATTGTGACCTGAGGAAGCTATAGGTTGATGATGATCATGATGATCATGTACATCATGGATATGATGATGACGATGATGATGTGGGACATGATGATGATCATGTGTAGTGGCAGTAATATTAGGGTTAAAGCATTGCTTAAGTCTAGCTCTATCTCTCCTGTGGACATTCATGTGGCCACCCAAGGCTTGAGCTGACCTGAACTCTCTCATACAAAAACTGCAGGAGTAAGATCTTGGAGGCCATATGCAACCACCAAGAGGGCCATGCCCTGCTGCATCTTCAGCAAAAGCCTTCTCTTCCCATGTTCTTGATGAGCTACTACTCATGAGTGCTGATGAGTTCATTGATGGTGCTGATGATGAGTTCAAGATCTTCTCTTTCCTGCTGTTTAGCCACACCCAGCACTGAACTTGTTCCATCCACAAGAGCTAACCCACCAGAGAGAGAGAGAGAGAGAGAGAGCAGCCTATAAGACTAAAGTAGAGGTATATATGAAATCCTGAGTTGAATATATAATTTGAGAATAACTTAAACAGTAAATACTGATTCGTGAACCGGATTTGTAACTTAAGTCATCGATAATAATAAAACTGATAGAATTGAATATTATGATGTGGGGCATATAGAGCTTTAATTAATAGGAGTGATGATCGTAAACCCTTGCCACCAAGATTAATTAGAGTTTGAATCCTCTCCTACCTCTCTCATATTGGTCTCATTTGTAAAGATGATGATGGTGGGAACTTGAGAATATATGAGTAAGAAAAAGAGGTCAGATGAAAGGGTCTTGGTACTAAGTTTACGCCGTGGGTTTCCTACTTTCCTCTATTTTGGCTCTAGCAATGAAGCTACTCTTTTGGTTTTTAGCTCGTTTTCTACACAGTTCTTGTTTCTAGTATTATTTTGGGAATTTATAGAGGGCCCCCTTTACAAGCAACTGTCATGCATTTGCTTTGATCCACATGCATGAAAACACTAACAATCGTTAATTGATAATTGATATATATATATATAAGAGGAAAAGAAATAGAAATGTGCGCAAATACTCATCAAAATCAAATGCCTAAGTTATGTAAGCTACCTATAGCTTGCTAGGTAGCCAGACACGCACAAAATTATTCTGAATTGACAAAATTATTCTGAATTGAGATAACAATTTTTACGATACAGTCACACTATGACATTTCATGTTAATAATACCATGTTATATTGAAAAAATTGCATGTAACATTTTGTCATCATGTCATACAAATTATTCAGTTTTTTATTTTATAGTACAACGATATATTTTACATTAAGAAGAGGAGAGAGTTCAGCTAAGTCACACAATGGGCAACCTAATTTGGTATCAAATTCGACATCCATTATATTCGAACCTAATACCTCTTACTTATAAGTGAAGAAGAATATTATCAGACCGTAATATTGAGTTGCCAAAATTCTTCTGTTAAAATAAAGGTACCCATCAAACTATTTATATTTAGGGATATTATTAGGGAAAAAAAAACGGAAAAAGAAGAAGAGCATGATGACTCTATGGGAACCATTTTGTTTTTAGCTTAGAATAAGATGTAGGATAGGAGCCATCCATCGCCGTAAGCGGGAAGGGAGACCAATCCATGAGGAGAAAGAGAGTTCTCCACAGAAAAGACAAACACCTGTGAAGTGAGGGTGAAATTGATGTAACATATATATATATAATTATATATCTCTCGAGGATATATATATATTATATAGCTAACTTGGTCCAATTGGTGTCTTTTCTTGAATCTCTGGTTAGCTAGATGAGACATGTAAATCAATTTGATGATCAATGGTTTCAGTGCAAATTGTCCTAATCATTTAGTCCTTTTCGTGGTAAGTAAACGCCTAGGACGTTATCCAGACTATTATTTAGAAGAAAATTTCAACTATGAACAAATTGAATCTCACGTTAATTATATACATAACTATATAAATACATTATTCTTGGGGAATTTTAACGAAAAGCTTCCGGTACTGTTCACTTTAAGGAAAAACCACATTTTTATACTAAAAAATCAATCCTGAAACTATTCACTTTATCTTTTATTTTGTCCTTATCATTAAAACTCAAAATTTTTAAATTATTTTCATTAGTTTTCCTTTCTTATTATCTTAACTTACCGTCATTGTAACATGGCACAGTGATTAACGCTCAAGCATAAACTACGAGGTTAAATGGTAGGGGTACCGAACAACTGATTAGTAATGTATTACCTTACTGGCTAGTTAGTGGAGGACCATGATTTTCGGACCATCAGACCAAGGCAGGGAAGGCTACAAAGACTGGACCTTAGAGAAATTAGCAGAGCTTTGAAAAGGATCCAATTCCGGACGCTCTGCCTTACACGATCAGATCAATACGGTTCTAATAACCTACATGATTTGATCGGATCATCTAAAGGTATTATCAGAACAAGTCAATCTAATAAGCACCGAAACGATAGATAAGGTTTGCCCTTATTAAGAATGACGTAATTGGTCCTCAAGAAATGTATCATGATCATATCCTGATTATGAGAGAATCCTGGGAACTCCTATTATCATGGGATTGGTGTCCATCTCAAGTAATCATTGACTTAATAGGAAATGATCTCTTTCTAGATTTCCTATTAGGATTCTCCTGACTTTTAATACGGATATCCATCCTTATAAGGACTCTCATTGAACACCATAAATATGCCCATCTAGAGCTCAAAGAAACTGGTATCCCATGTCTCAAGGGATAATCCCATATTCATAGAGAGGGGGGGATATATATATCAAGAGAGGATCTCATATCTCAAGATAACTCACAACTCATTCAGCGCATCTCTACATGGTCAGCTCATCATTACATGCTCATACATGGAACTACACGTGATTTGATTCTCCCTCTCTGACGAGGAGATAAGTAGGCAATCCTTCCCAGATTCAATCACTCCCCCTCCTCCCAAACCCGCTATACACAGATGTTCATGAAATTCCGACGATTATTCATAGACCAATGTCTGTGCGCGAATTTCGTTCCATTATTCATAGAGCAATGGTTGTGGACAAATTTCATTCCAACAGTTAGAGTTTAGTGTGCTGCTTCTCATTAGAGGCGAATGTGATCAAGGTCTGGGGCACGTGCCCCAAGCCCTCTCAGTTTTTTGTTTGAAAAAAATATACTTAGTTCCCAAAATATTTCTTTTTCAATCGTTTGTTTGCCGTAAAAACAGATGAGTTCAACAAAAGTTAAACAACATCTTCATCTCTCCAGTGCAACTTTATCACTTGATTCTCGTCCAAGACCATAAGGAGGTGAATATTCAAGTTGATTACGGTAGCTCAATAAGACGAAGACCCATTAACCATCTCTCCTCCCATTCGTCTTATAAATTTGATCTCTCAGCCCTATACATGTATGATTTAACTCTTTGTTTTATTCATAAAAACATAACTAAAAGAGCATTAAAGGGTAGGAATGTACGCTAACACTATGTTTGAATGAAGAAATTTAAGATTACTAAGGAATTTTAAAATGACAGAAATTGAAATGAAGGGATTTTATTTTCTAGAATTTGTGAATTTTGTTGTTTGGTTAACTTAAAAGAACAATGGAATTGAAAACGGAATTTGTTAATTTTAAACTCCCAATAGAAATTGGGAAATGACACATATTTACATGGAATTTAAACTTGGAAATTGGAGGCCCCAAATTTCAAGTTTTTTTTCACGCGGAAATTCTAAATTTCTATGTTATAAATCCAAACAAGGGAATTGGTGCATGTCAATTTATAAATTCTGACTTTTATCCAAATTTCAAGTTTATTTCCCTCATCCAAACATAATGTAAGTGCACAATAGTATGCATCAGCCAAGTGCTTGATGAAATGACTCACCCTAAAAACTAAAAGAAATTTTTTGGTGTGATGTGCGCTATTTTTGAAATGCAACGGGGATGGAGTCCTGCATCCGGCTCTACTTAGTTACACACTTATTAAGATGCATACAATAGTATACAACTCCATTACGCATGTCTTCTTCTTTTTGTTTTCTTTTGTGTTTACGCAATCCTAGTAGTACGTAGGTCCTCGTCTACCCCAATGTCACATGTTGGATCAAGCACCAAGGTTTATGGCACATGAATTGGATGTGGTGAAAGCATCATTTTCATAAATTTCACATGATGATGCTTGTTCATTTGAAAGACCCAGCGAGTCTTGATATGATCATTTCAAATTTTCTTCTTATTGTAGAGAACGTGTGCAGAATCTTTGTAACTTTCCTCCATATCACGCCAAGTTAACAAGTCAATATATATGACATTTTTGTTCAACATAAATAATAATTAATATATTTTTACTTCATAATGCAGAATTAGTGAGACTTTAAGTGTTTGCTTATAGTTTCATTATCTTAGTTAATATTAAAATATCCTTTAAAATATTCATTATCTTAAAGGTCAAATATACCGATTACGTATATAATTATAAATGGTTAAGTACTACAAGTTGGGTAAGATTACTTCTTCATTTAGAACTATCAATTCTCTTCTCCCCAAGGCATTGTATAAAATTAGTTATCTTCGTAATAGCTTGATCAGTTGTCAATATTTATAATATGACAGTTAACGACTGCTTCAATAGCATATATGTATATGCAATGGAGCATATTCATGATCATAATATGGAAATCCTAAGTTAACAATAGTAGTAAAAAGTACATAGCATGAATGCATGCGGGACGTTTGAATAAATATTACCTTGTGGAGGCCCTCTTCGATTCTGTTTGACATTATTTCTATCTTAATAAACCACTATCGTTTCAACTCAATAATAATAATAATAATAATATATTACCTTGCTACACGTACACTTAAATCGTATATATATCCTCCCTACAAGTATTTTTTACACCCCATATTTTAGAGAAAATCCAAATTAATTGGTAATTAATTTCTATCAAATTTATTATTTTAGGATTGAAATTTATAGTGACGAATTTGCCCTTTTAGATAAATAAAAAAACAAAATTTAAAATCTTGATTAAATGCATTATTTGATCAAATATGCATTTAAAATTTTTAAAGCTTGCAATTGCTCCCATAAAAACTTGAATTCATAAAAAACAACTTGTCAGTCATAGAGTCCTGCTCTTCTAAGGTCCTCAATTTGAGGATTTGTGAGGACCAAATGCATATTAGTGTCCATAGAATTATATTAGTTTATATCCAAAAGCTTAAAATATTTGACAACTTAGTAACGAAAAACAAGAAATTGATTTTTCTAATGGTTCATGGATTTTAAGTTGGTTTTGACCTATTAAGTTGTCAAACATTTTAAGCCTCTAGATCAAAACTAGTATAATCTTGTGGCTAATATGCATTTAGTCATCTTTGATCATCAAAATGACGACCTTAGGAGAGCAAGAC